GGCTGATTAGAAAATGAAGGCTAATTATGTTTTGAGTGTACTATTCCTTTAAGGTCAACCCCTGCTTTAAGCATCTTGGTGCTCTCCAACATTAATTTCTTCCAGTAAGTAATAAAGGTCAAACTGGTTTTATTCAACACTTCCTTCTTTGGGTCAGATTCTAAGGATTCAGATAAGATGAAAACGGACATCTGGATCGTACTTAGTCTCGAGTTCAGTCTTTTCTCGGACAGCCTGCGCCATGGTCTCAGCCTCCTGATACTTCTTCCTGCTCTTGGTCAGCTCCTTCACCGAGTCCTGCAGCTCCGCCTGGATCGCAGTCAGCTGCTCAATGCACTGGAGGACGATCCACACAAACAACAGAGAACGTCACAGACATGCAAATTATTATTCCAGCGGTGTGTCACCTGGAAAAATATGCAAAACAAGCAAATGCTCCATATTGTTATCTAAAGGCACTGACTAAAAACTGATAAACCAGCGGGTACAGCATACAGGAAGCATAAAGACATCTCCTAAATGCCAAGGGCTAAACAAGAGCAGCATTGTAGGGTGGGGGCAGTGGAACGTGGCCAGCAGAAACAGGAGAGCAGCTGAGCGGCGTCGGCTCAGAGGGATCAGGAAACAAGAAAGAAAAAAAAAAAACTGGAACTTTAATGTGTTTAATAATTACTCAGGTGAGAGACCAAACAATGCAAGTAGGACACACTTTTGAAACAAAGGAAATACAGAAACGACAATCTGAAAAGTGTGGCCTTTGCTTTCAGACCCTCTGGGTGGATCGTTTGTAGAACCACCCTGTGTTGCTTTACCAGCTTTTACATCTGGAAACAAGCCCTGTCGGCTCCAGCTTAGACAGGCTGGATGGGGAACATTTGAATATCACGTCTTTCCTCATTATGATTCAGATTCTGATTTGGCTAATCTGCAACCTGAGCCCAGGTCCTGCCCATTTGGCAGCTCATCAAGGTTTCCTTCCACAGAACAGGGTTGAATCAAAGCTCTATAAACAAAACAATTAAAAACAAACCAATAAGAATGTTTAAAGAAGAGCTAAAGGTCAAATTGAACATAACAGGTTGGTAAAAAAGCAGAAGTACTTTCAATCAGTCATTTATGAAAGTTATGGGGAATTCAAGACATCCTGAGAGTTAAGCATCAAAGACGGAGGCGTATTTCACTTCATTTAAGTTACAATCAACTCTAATCGGCTAATCATTTCCTGCTTAATCAAAGAACCCCATGGCATAAACAACAACTACAAAGACCCTATGAGTTACTGCAAAATATATATTTTCCCTTTGGGATTAATAAAGTATTTCTGAATCGAATTTAAAGGAAAAGTTCGGTCACATTCAGAATACAAACTTCTGAAGTACTTTAAGAGTGACATTATTACACACTGTTAAATAAATGAAAAGTGTTTTTAATTAAGAGTAATTTTCATTTGAATGTGCTTTACTGGAGGCATCCATGTTTGTAAAGAACACTACTGCCACCTACTGGTTAGTGACGTCACGGTGCGGTATCGGCTGTTGATCAAGTCCCAGTGCTGTATCTGGTGTTTGTCACAACGCGCTATTATCCAAGTCATCTTGAAAACATTCTTCTTCCAAATGTTGGCTACATATTACGGGTTTTTTCTCTGGCCAGAAGTTCGATGGCAAATCCTCCCTCTTCAAGTTGGCGATCCAACGACCAACCCGTCCGTGGAGGATCAGGAATCAGAAAGGTGGAATAACTCTTATTTTTTCATCTTTTACCCGATGTATTCCAGCATCCAGCTGCCATGCACGTGGGCATTGTCAGTTTCACTATAGCTCTGGTGAATTTCAATGGTGAAGTCCTCTGGAAATCTTCAATAATTGTTGTTGATTGCAGATGTGTCTAGTAGTTCCCATTGATTTAGCTTGGAAAGCGGGGAGAATGGCGCTAGGCTTACCGCACCGTGACGTCACTGCTGGAAGATGGCAGGAGGGAGGGGTTTATATATCTGGGCAAAAATGGCTGCTCCCAGACTGTGATAGTGACGAAAAATACTGTTTTTATTTTTTTACTGATTAACACTAAGTTTATTTAATCACTACGAACATATTAGTTTTAGGTATAAATAATGACCAGAGCAGGTGAGCGGAGCGGAAGAAATATTGTGGAGCGCAGAGCGGTTTTCAATTCAAAGGCCGGAGCAAGGATTTCACTCCGCTCCAGTTCGCTCCGACCTAATTTAAATTCATGTTTGACTTAAAACCTAGGCCTATGCTGTAGTCTGTGTCTATAAACTGTTATAGTCTATGTTTCAACTTTACCACGGAATCGCAGAGACAAGGATTGCATATTATGTGATAAAAAGTGGGATAAAATATCATAAAAACATACACTAACTATACACTAACAATCCAGAGTGGGTTTAAATTAAGTGATTGTTTTGGTAAGAGCCTGTTTTTGAAAACGGATCGCAATATACGTTATTATCTCATTTGTAATGGGATGCGAAGTGACCTTTTTTACTGTAGTCTAGAAAAACAAAAGATTAGTTGAATAGGAAACGTGGGGCAACATGAATGGAGCGAGGTGTTACGCTCAGCTGGGAAACAGTGACATAATTTTACTATTATATAATAATAATATAATATATTTTTTATGTATTAATTCATGTTTTTCAAGGCTGCACTTTAAAGGAATAGTACACCCAAAACATGATTAGCCTTCATTTTCTACTCACCCCCATGCTGAACAACACTCTGGAGTACTTTTTTGGTATCTCAAATGCATCTGGAGATCTGGGAGGCTTCTTGCTGTCTGCTGACATTCAAATAATGGAGGTCTATGGCGCCCGAGGCAGAAAGGTCCATAAAAGTCCACAAAAAACGTGTCAATATTCCTCCATACTGCTCGTCCAATGTATTCCAAGTGTCCTGAGTGGGTAGCATCCAGAATTTACTCGAAACGAAGTCATTTAGAATGTTTTTAGAGCATAAACAGTAGTGTATAGGATTTCCTGAAAGCGCGCACATGCGCGTTCACGACGCTACGGAAGCCGGCCTCCCAGATCTCCAGATGCATTTGAGATATCAAAAAAGTACTCCAGAGTGTTGTTCAGCATGGGGGTGAGTAGAAAATGAAGGCTAATCATGTTTTGGGTGTACTATTCCTTTAAAATATGAAATTATCTAGAGCTTTTTTAAATGAAATTTCTTTTTGTTTACATTCGTGTATACAAATTAACAAAATAAATCTGTATTAGTCTAATAATTTAACAGCCAGTTAAAAAGACAATCCACATGCATCGGTCACATCATTAGGTCAAACGCCGTGTGTCCCAGGGCTCTGGCATCATTACAGGAAAGAAAAATGTCAGGACATTCATTCTCTTGAAAATCTGAGTGAGCGTGGAGCGATTTTGCTGGAACGGCAGAAAAATTAAGGTGAGCGTGGAGCGGTTTTTGAGCCGAGCTTCCTGGCGCAACTTTGAGCGAATGAGCGAACATCCTCCCGAGTGGGGAGCGGGAATTGCGCGGCGCTCCGCTCTGATAACGACACATTCATTATTCTTTGTTGACCGGACTTTTCCTTTAACTGAATAAGGGAAATGACATCATGACTTAATGCAGATGATAAAGTCAATGTAAAGGCCACCCTTTCACAACAAAGGTCACCTGAAGTCACTTCACAGGAAAACAGGTGGGATTTACCCAGATACTACCCATTTATTTAAATAGAATCCAATTGGATTTAATAAAAAAATATATATATTTAATGATCATATAATTCAACTGGTAAAGAGCTAAATAAGGAAACCCAGCTGATGACATTGATTCTGCAGGAAGCATGTAGGAACAGTGGGCAGGTTCATTACTGCTTACTGTCAAACCTCAGAGGCCTTATCAGAACAGCTGGATGCTACCTGCAGACAGATGGCACTAATTTAGTTATATCAAAGCAAATATGTTGAACGCATGATATTCTGCTTTATATTTTGGTTCGTAGAAAAAAAAAAGAAATCTATGCAACCCATTTCTTCCAATAAATAGATCAACATAAGAGGAACACTAAACGTCGCTGCTTTATATACCAAGTGGTGACAGAAAATTTCACAGCAACTAAACTGCGCTTTAGTGCCGATTCTGTCCGTAATCAACACATCTTTAATCTTCTTTTTCCACTGGTTTTATTAGCTGTGGTTTCCCCCTAAATTACTACATTTATTTTTATTTCAGGAAATCGTGTTTTAAATGTCAGTGCATTAGATCATGAAGTATAACGGTTAGAGTTAGGCTTTTCTAACACTCTATAAATTAAACCATCCACACATCTGGAAGACAAGCTTTTAGCACTGGGACACAGTTTCATTCTTCTTCAGCACAGCTCTGGTGACAGAAATAGATCCTGAACAATAACATTGTGACTCTGTGGGTTTGTTCTGGGTGATCTTTAGTGAGAAAAGTTGACAAAGGAAGAAAGGGGATTTCTGTGAAGATTTTCTTTCGTTATAAACCGTAAAACATTCTAGAATCATCTTTAAAAAAGTTGCAGAGTATATTTGTTTCATAAATTCGAATAGATTTAAAAGTAAATGTAACTTTATTTTAAGTTTCCCTCAAGAAAAGATGGGAAGGTATTTATTTTAAAGTTTGAAGTGGTTTGAGAGGACAAACAGCTGTAAACATTAAAAAGGACAGAAGTGAATGAAACTGGTAGCCTAGTAAACTAGCCCCACCCGCCAGCCGCCAAAATCATTTCTGCCTGCGAGTTGGTCTAACATCGATCAATGCCCCAGGCCCTAAAGCTGGTGGGCCAATCACAACGCAAGGATGAGTTTTGAATTTCTGGGAGCAAAGTGGGCGGGGTTTTGAGGGCGTGACGACAAAGCTGCGCAACGCTGGAGAAAGCACAACAGTAGCTTTCAATAGAGAGCTCCATTGAAAGCTAAAAGTTATTTTCTGTTCCTGTTGTTCAATAAAAGTATGTTTTAAGATCATTTAAAATAGAATATTATACTTTAAAGCATCACTATATGGTCCATTTACAGATTTAATGCGTAATTAAAAAAACTATTTCCTAAGTTGAGAGGACTGCGGCAACCAGCGGAGCTCTGAAGCTAACGGCATCCAGGGCTAACCGCAGCCCGTCTGCAGCGGCCCTCTCTGCGTAGTCTTGTGTGAAGGACTGCTGGCTCTGATGGCGATTTTTAACTCAGCTTTGGAATCAGTTTTTGAAGGATTAGACTTGGGGTTTTCACTGAAACATCAGCAGGAAGAGGCTCTACGCTCATTCGTTTTTAATAATGACGTATTCGCCGTTTTCCCGACCGGCTGTTTGTTAACACTCCCCCCCAGCTTCCTGTTGCGCTTCCTTCGTCACAGTCAGTTCACTGGTCAGAGCGTTGGCCAACAGGCACAGACATGGTTTGAAAAACAACGGATTTTTCTCATCAACAATCTTCCGATGTCTTATTCATTGGGGCCAGACTAAATAACATCTCCCATTTACTCTGGTTTATCAGGCTATGAAACTGGTGCAGGTTTGTCTGATTGACTGCAGTTACCTTCCTGAGCTGCTGCTCCTTCTGTAGTCGTGCCATCTTGGCTGGATCTGCAACCTGAACTTTATAGTTCTCGCAGGCGCCCAGTCTGAACTGGGTGGCCTGGACGGTACCCTCCAAATAAGTCCTCCATACACAGAACATGTTCCTAGAAAGAAAAAAAGTAAACAAAGGTGTTTAACGTTTATTTTTACTCCTATTCAAGAATAATTCATAAGTGGAGGAAGAGAAAACTCATGTACAAACGTATTATGATTGCATAAGTGTGCAACAACCTAAGAAGGGGCTTTCTACAACAAAAAACAAAAACCTTGGGTCAGAATTTTATACTTCTTCAGCCCGTTCTGAAATTCTGAAATCAGGTTTCATAGTGTTTCAATGAACGCCAACCCCTCCATCATTTTAGGAAACCCTAAATAACCTCATAAATTTAATTAAGTAAAACTTCTATCATGCCTTAAAGGCAAAGAGCGGAGTGACTGGTTTGTTTTATTTGGACCAAGAAAAAGCTGTACAGGGTAGTTTTTCCTGCAACACAAGCAGGTTAGAAAATAAGTTGCAAGTATAAACCACCACAGTTCAATACCGCAATGTTTATTCCTAAATGTGGAGACGGATCAAGTCCTCAGAAAGTCATTGAAAAGATTAATTCAAGGAGTCTCCATTATTCTACAGAAACAGATTTATCAGTTTTGATTATTCTGTTGGTCCAAAAATTACAATATTAAACAACACCAAAAAAGGGATTTTAACTCAGAAATGTTGACTATCGCCAGTAATTCTTTATAATATATACGGTGTCTGTGCTCTATCAGGGTTCCTTTATTAATGAACTACTGCATCACTGCTGGTTGGCATAGGGGAGATCAGTATGGAAGTAAATCTGTGTCGCTGGGATTTAAATTAAAAATTCCACTGAAATTTAAATGTTGTATGTTTGTACTTACTGTTTCAGTGTTGAAATATATTCAGAACACATTTTTGACCTAAAAAGAAGTTAATTGTCATTATTTCCACACAGTTGAAATTTCATTTGTTATTTTTTCTTCAAGCTAAAAATTCACATTACTATTTCAAAGTGATTACATTTTCAATATTTATTTTTCAGTTTAATTTTTCAGTGTTAAAAAAATCTGCATATAAAAAAATTCAACCTTTCAAAATTCAAACT